CCAGGACTGAACCAGGACTGAATCACACTAACTCATAAAAACACTGAGTTTTAATACGTGTTTCTGTTTACACACAAAACTGAAAAAAGAAGAAAATAAAAATGTAGACGACGCGTCGGCGTCTTAAACCTGGAGACTTTGACCCAGAGAAAGAACCAGAACAGAACATCAGAGTCTCAGGAGACACAGACGATCTGACACGTCCTGGAAAAAAGTCAAATCACAAAAGTTCAACCTGGAGATTTGTGAGAAACTGAAGCCGAGACAGAAGTGAACTTTTCATGTGTTTACGATAAAAAGCCAGAAGAACACGACTGTGTCTTTAAACGATTCTGTTCCGTTTTTCCTGTTTTCATTTTTACATTTTTATACTTTTATATTAAATAAATAAACCTGAAAGTTTCAGTCGTTTGTGTCACAGACGAAACCAGAACCAGAACCAGAACCTGAACCTGAACCTGAACCTGAACCTGAACCAGAACCAGAACCTCAACCTCCAAACACTTTTATTATAGAACAAAAGGACTAAACCAGGACAGAGGAGACAGAGGGACAGAGACACGGGGAGGACAGAGGACACTGAGACAGAGGCGACACAGGGAGGACAGAGGAGACACTGAGGACAGAGGAGACACGGGACCTGAGGACAGAGGAGACACTGAGGACGAGGAGACACAGACACAGGGAGGACAGAGGAGACACTGAGGACAGAGGAGACACGGGGAGGACAGAGGAGACACTGAGGACAGAGGAGACACTGAGGACAGAGGAGACACGGGGAGGACAGAGGAGACACTGAGGACAGAGGAGACACTGAGGACAGAGGAGACACAGAGGACAGAGGAGACACGGGGAGGACAGAGGAGACACTGAGGACAGAGGAGACACGGGGAGGACAGAGGAGACACTGAGGACAGAGAGACAGAGGAGACAGGAGACACTGAGGACAGAGGAGACTGAGACAGAGGAGAGGACAGAGGAGACACGGGGAGGACAGAGGAGACACTGAGGACAGAGGAGACACTGAGGACAGAGGAGACACAGAGGACAGAGGAGACACGGAGGAGGACAGAGGAGACACAGAGGACAGAGGAGACACTGAGGACAGAGGAGACACAGAGGACAGAGGAGACACTGAGGACAGAGGAGACACGGGGAGGACAGAGGAGACACGGGGAGGACAGAGGAGACACAGGACAGAGGAGACACTGAGGACAGAGGAGACAGAGGAGACACAGAGGACAGAGGAGACACTGAGGACAGAGGAGACACTGAGGACAGAGGAGACACGGGGAGGACAGAGGAGACACAGGAGGGAGGAGACACGGGGAGGACAGAGGAGACACAGAGGACAGAGGACACAGGAGGAGACAGAGGAGACACTGAGGACAGAGGAGGACACAGAGGACAGAGGACAGAGGAGACACAGAGGACAGAGGAGACACTGAGGACAGAGGAGACACAGAGGACAGAGGAGACACTGAGACAGAGGAGACACGAGGACAGAGGAGACACAGGACAGAGGACACAGAGACAGAGGGACACAGGAGGACAGAGGAGACACTTGAGGACAGAGGAGACACAGAGGACAGAGAGACACAGAGGAGACACAGAGGACAGAGACAGAGGACAGAGGAGACACTGAGGACAGAGGAGACACAGGAGGACAAGAGGAGACACAGAGGACAGAGGGACACTGAGGACAGAGAACACAGAGGACAGAGGAGACACTGAGGACAGAGGAGACACGGGGAGGACAGAGGAGACACAGAGGAGACACGGGGAGGACAGAGGAGACACTGAGGACAGAGGAGACACTGAGGACAGAGGAGACACGGGGAGGACAGAGGAGACACAGAGGACAGAGGAGACACGGGGAGGACAGAGGAGACACGGGAGGACAGAGGAGGACTGAGACACTGAGGACAGAGGAGACACGGGGAGGACAGAGGAGACACTGAGGGACAGAGAGACACGGGAGACAGAGGAGACAGAGGGACGAGGACACAGAGGACAGAGGGACACGGGAGGACAAAGGAGACACAGAGGACAGAGGCGACACAGGGAGGACAGAGGAGACACTGAGACAGAGGAGACACAGGACAGAGGAGACACTGAGGACAGAGAGGACACTGAGGACAGAGGAGACACTGAGGACAGAGAGACACTGAGGACAGAGGAGACACGGGAGGACAGAGGAGACTGAGGACAGAGGACATGAGGACAGAGGAGACACGAGACAGAGGAGACACGGGGAGGACAGAGGAGACACAGGGAGACAGAGGGACACAGAGAGGACAGAGAGACACTGAGGACAGAGGAGACACAGGGAGACAGAGGAGACACAGGGAGGACAGAGGAGACACTGGGACAGAGAGACACAGGGAGGACAGAGGAGACACGGGGAGGACAGAGGAGACACTGAGGACAGAGGAGACACAGGGAGGACAGAGGAGACACAGGGAGGACAGAGGAGACACTGAGGACAGAGGAGACACAGGGGAGGACAGAGGAGACACGGGGAGGACAGAGGAGACACTGAGGACAGAGGAGACACGGGGAGGACAGAGGAGACACAGAGGAGGACAGAGGAGACACTGAGGACAGAGGAGACACTGAGGACAGAGGAGACACGGGGATCTGACCCTGGAGCCGTGAGGACGACATGTTTACGTTAAAACGATGAGAAAGATTCACACAAAACAGAAAAACTGCACAAGTTCACACGAGTTTCACAAACGACCCACGCACACTAATGACCCATGCACACAAATGAACCACGCACACACACACAGACCCACGCACACAAATGAACCACGCACACTAATAACCCATGCACACAAATGACCCACGCACACGCCACTAATGACCCACGCACACAAATTACCCACACACACAAATGAACCACACACACAAATGAACCACGCACACTAATGACCCACACACACAAATGAACCACGCACACAAATGACCCACGCACACAAATGACCCATGCACACTCACACAAATGATCCACGCACACTAACAACCCACGCACACTAACAACCCACGCACACTAATGACCCACGCACACACGCACACTCACATAAATGAGTTGAGATGTGACTGGAGCGTCTAAAGTTTCTCACGTGTGAAACGTCAAACTCACGTCTCTGATCCAAACAAACACGAGTCAAACTGGAGCTCAGGTTCCGGGTTTGGTTTTATTGGATCAATACAACAGTGAACAGAAAAACAGAAGGAGCTTATTTCGACGGCGCAGCGTGAATCGATAGACGTCGCTGTCGATTTCGGCTGCTGGAGCTCATTTGGACGGAACACCGGCCTCAGCGGCTCTTTCTCCTTTAGTGTGTTCCAGAGGCTGCGGCTCGTCTCAAAGTCGTCCCACACTGGTCAGAGCTGCAGCTTTTCTCTTCACTCTGGAACATTTGGACGTGTTTCAGACGGTTCCTCACAGACCTGAAGTCCTTCTCCTCTTTCTCCACACTCGTCTGGTTTGTCTCCTGTGTGTGTTCGGTGGTGACTGGAGAGCTCCTGGGATGTTCTAAAAGCCTTTTCACACTGGTCACACTCGTACAGGATCTGCCAGGAGTGAAGTCTCTTGTGTCTGTTGAGATTAGATGATTTAGAGAAAGCTTTCCCACACTCGTCACACTCGTATCGGCTCTGTCCTGTGTGGATTTTCATGTGTGATATCAGGATGCCTGACCGAGAAAACGTCTTCTCACAAATCTCACATCTGAATGAATTATCCCCTGCGTGGATTTGCAGATGTTGTTGGAGGTTACCAGAACTTCTAAATTCCTTCCCACACTCCTCACATTTAAAAGGTTTCTCTCCAGTGTGAACTCTCATGTGTGATTCTAAGGTGCTTAACTGTGTAAATGTTCTCTCACAAACGACACATTTGTACGGTTTCTCTCCTGTGTGGATCCTCACATGTTCATAGAGCGCACCAGAGTGTCTAAAGCCCTTCCCACACTCGTCACAGCTGTACGGTTTTTCTCCCGTGTGAGTTCTGTAGTGTCTTCTCAGGTCTGAAGCTTTAGGCCACACCTTCTCACACTGGTCACACTTGTAGGGCCTCTCTCCTGTGTGGATCCTCAAATGTGACACGAGGTTGCTCGACATTGAAAACGTCTTATCACAGATTTCACAGCTGTAGGGCCTCTCCCCTGTGTGAGTTCTTCTGTGTGAAATCAAGTTGCTTGAAAGTGAAAATGTTTTCTCACACTGGTCACAGCTGTACGGTCTCTCTCCCGTGTGAGTTCTGTAGTGTCTTTTCAGCGTGTAAGCACTCGGCCACACCTTCCCACACTGGTCACATGTGAAGGTCATTCTGTTGGTGGATCTTGTAGCTCTGCGTTAGAACAAAGGAAAAGAAAGTGTCAAATTAAATCACTTTTTAAACTCTTCAAATAAAGAAACTCACAGTAAACACACATCAAGTCAGACAGTGAGTGTGTTTATGTGAACATCAGAGTCTCGTTAGGAGAAACACGACACTGTATCTGGGAGATTCTGATAGTACCTGGATACTGGGGCATGTGAACGCAGTATCCTGAATACTGCAGTATCCTGAATACTGCAGTATCCTGAATACTGCAACATAAAGTTGAGTCACAAACTCTTCTCAGTCTTTTCATCACAACAGTTGTGTCCCCACACTGAGCGCAGGAGAATATCAGTTCAAATATGATCTGAGTCACTGATCGTTCTTTAAAACTTTTGCCCTTTAATTAGTTTGCATGTAATAAATAAAATAAAACAAAGACAAAGGAAAGATTTGAGCTGAAATGATATTAGGCCACGTCTATCACACTGACAAATAAAAAGTTCATCATCCCACTTCCTTTAAAGTTTTATCGTCCGCGCCTCAAACATAGACTTTTATCCATGAGATTTATTTAATCCAGAGCCTCCGCACCACAGTATCAGTATCAGTATCAGTATCAGTATCAGTATCAGTATCAGCACAACTTGAAATGACTTTTTCTAATGGTCCACAGCAGTGAACTCCACATGAATCAACTCAAACATGTTTTACAAACAGATTCTAATCGTCCACAGCACAACAGTCATCGATCAATAATTCACTCATCAATCAAAAAGGGAAGTGCACTTTTTCATTCATCCAAAATACTCTATTGTACTCAACTAATCCAATGACTTAAGTGGAGATCAAAATACTCGAGTAGATGATCAGATGAATCATTCAAGTTACACAACTCATCAAAAACAGTCGGAGCTTCGTCACTTCATTCATTTTCAACGAGCAAAAACTCAATGGAGACGAGAGCTTTTTTTATTTTTTTATTTTTTATTTATATATTTTTTTAAATTACAAAAACAAAACAACAAATGTTTTTACTTTATAAAGTGCAGATTGTTGTTGCATCAATGCAAAGTCCAGTTCACAGTTACAGCAGGAGGGACTAGAGCTGGTATCATTAAGAAGTTGCCGATACGATACACACCTCGATACACTGCACTTTCGATTCAATACGATATATTTCAAATCGATTCGATACGGTTCAATAAAAAATAAAGACTAAATCGTGGCTGTGATACTAAAAGTGTTTGTTAAATCACTTCTTGTGCAAAGTTCATATGAAACACAAACATTTTAATCGTCAAAACAGTAAAAATATCAAATGTGTCGCATAAATGAGTTTCCTTTCCCTCCACAAACAACAAAACTAACAAAATAATTGAGTAAAACACACCTAAAAATACTCTTGGTGAAAATATCGATACTGTATCATCACATTAAACGATACGATATATCGATATTCCAATATTTTTGCACAGCCCAGGAGTGAGGCTGGAAAATACACATAAACATATAAACATGTTGTGATGTTCTCATCCAGGAGCAGAAGAAACGAAACCAAAACTAAACAACAACAACAACAACAACAATAATAATAATAATAATAATGTCATAAATGAAATAAAGTTGTATTATATTTTTTATAGATATTGTAAGTTTTAACGGCTTTTTTGTTTTGGACCTGTTTTATGGTTTGAAAGTTTTGTTGGATTTCGTTCTTATATTGATGAAGATTCAGTTGATTTTGAGCCCGTTTGGTTTTGTGTTTGTGATATTTTGTCAGGATGATGAGTCTGGATGAAGAGTTGAAGATGTTTGGGGACGGAGGAGCTGCTGAAGTCAAACAGGACGTCTGTTTCCTGGAGGTTGATCGAGGGTTTGGTTCTGGTTTTGGATGAGTTGTTGTTTGTGAGTCCAGATGTTCTTGTTGTTTGTGCAGTGGTGAAACAGGTGACTGATTGTTTCTATTTCACTGCGACAGAAATCACACTTTAATCTTTAATCTGAATCTTTCTAAGGTTTTTTTGGTTGGGTAAATATTATGGAGAATTTTGAAATGAACTTCTTTATTTTGTAGTAAATGCAGAGGCTGTGGGCCCGGCTCCAGTCCACCTCCCCGAGCATCAGCTCCAGTGTGAAGCTGCTGCGTCTGTTTGGAGCTTTAATCAGATTTCTAATGTTTTTATTCAAACAGGTTTTTATTTTAATATTGACCTCTCCCAAATATAGATCGTTATTAAGTTTCTGGAGCTGATAATTGAGTTGAGATTCCTGCAACAAACGGAAAGTGTCTTTAGGTTTAGTTTGACACCAGGAGAGTCCAAACCCAGACGAAGCAGAGGGACGATCGAGGGCCACAGACTGGAGCTCAGTACAGGGAAGAACTGAAATATGTGCAAGTTTAACACGTTAGAATCATCCTCAGTCTTTATTCATGATCCTTAAAACCACTAACTAAATATTAAATATGAATATTTGCTTTATCAAGGAAGATTTTCAAAAAACTTGCAGTAAAAAATTATTTTTTAATTAATACAAAGTCATTTGGGCCAATTCCCCTGGAAGTCTGTCTGAGGGCCGCAGTTGGCCCCCGGGCCATAGTTTGGACATGTCTGTTTGACACATTTTGATGTATTTTGATTGTTTCTTTGGAAACTGATCAATGGTTTTAAATTCATTGTATGAAAACATTTGTCTTTGTGCATTGATCAGTTGATTGACCCAAACTGTCCCTTTGTCAAACCAGGATCTAAAAACATCATCATTTATTTCGATGTTTAATTGTTTTTTTTATTCCAAATGCAGCAGTTTGTTTGTGAAAAGATGAATTTATAAACCAACGTCCAGGAAAACTGGAAGACGAGAGCTTATTTAACGTTCGCTCCAAAAGTTGACAAAACCAACTCCATCAATTCAAAAGAGAAAATAATGAATCAATAAACGCTTCTAGTCAATTAGATTCTTATCTACAATTCGGCTTGACTGTAAACTTCAAAACGTTCAATATTTCCTGAGTATAATGTGTGTTTGTAAAAGTCCCAGCGCGAGTAAACGGAGCTAATATCCACAGGGGTTTTGAATGGGAGCGGAGGAGCGAACAAACAAGACGCTAAGTGCGATTTAACAACACAAATACGAACTAAACATAAAACTATTCACCGATTGTTGCTCAACAAACTCACCGATGAAGAAGAGACAGTTTGGAATCCGACAAATGCTCCAGTTGACAGATTTGTCCCTGACGCAGAACTGAACATGAACCACAGTGAGGAGGAGGAGGAGACAGGGAAGTGACCTCCTCTTCATCAACATCAACATCCTCCTCCTCCTCTTCTTCTTCTTCTAATATTTTCCTGCAGGCTCCACGCTGAGGTGCTGCCCTCCATCGTCGTTAGAAGATATAAAATTCTCAGATAAAAGCTGAAGAAAGTTAAACAGAGTTAAATCTACTGAACTATTATCAGAGGACAGAGAAGGTCACAAGTCCCAGGTCCACTGCTCCTCGTAGCTCCGCCTCCTCTGCTCTTTTTATTTATTTAGTTTTTATTAATACTTCCCAGATCCAAACGAAAAGGCACAAAACAAGAATCACATCTAAACCTCGTAAGAAAAACAAAACAAACAAAAAAAACCCAAAAAACAAATGGCAGAAAAATCTAAACCATGAAACATCACGAACGAACCAGGAGGCAAATTCTAAATCTGTCATCAGAAAAACAAACAAGAAACTGACGTCACTTTTCTCCGTCAAACTTCATCAGGTCGTTTCTAAAGTTCGTTTTATTTGGTTTTATCTTTAAATCTCACACAGAGTCTGACAGTGTCACAGCTGCAGACGTCACCGGGGGTCAGAGGTCACCGGGGGTCACCGGGGTCAGGAGGTCAGGGTCAGAGGTCACCGGGGTCAGAGTCACGGGGGTCAGAGTCACCGGGGTCAGAGGTCACCGGGGGTCAGAGGTCACCGGGGGTCAGAGGTCACCGGGGGTCAGAGGTCACCGGGGGTCAGAGGTCACCGGGGGTCAGAGGTCACCGGGTGTTTCCTGATCTTAAATAAACTCACAGATCAGAACCTGGCTGAGGCGTCTTCATCTCTTCTCCTGCAGCTGGTCTCAGTTCTGCTCTTCTGTTCCTCGTCTCGACCTTTTGACCTTTTATTAACAGAGTTGGGAAGTTTACTTTTCAAATGTAATCCCCTACAGATTACAGATTACAGATTACACACACCAAAATGTAGTTTGTAACAGAATCCATTAAATGACTTAAAGTGAGTAATGTAATCTGATTACTTTGGATTACTTGATTTGTTGTAGAGAAACAAAGACGAGGAAATCTTCACATAAGAAGTTTTGTCTGATAAAAGAAAATAAAAAGTCCAAACTTTATTTAACCAAATTAAAAATATTATTGATAAAAGACGAAGAAACACGTCCACACAGCAGTTTACCTGGTTTAGTTTAGACCTGGTTTAGTCCTGGTTTAGTTTTCCTGGTTTAGTCCTGGTTTAGACCTGGTTTAGTCCTGGTTTAGTCCTGGTTTAGTTTAGACCTGGTTTAGTCCTGGTTTAGTCCTGGTTTAGTCCTGGTTTAGTCCTGGGTCCTTTACCTGGTTTAGTCCTGGTTTAGTCCTGGTTTAGTCCTGGTTTAGTCCTGGTTTAGTCCTGGTTTAGTCCTGGTTTAGTCCTGGTTTAGTCCTGGTTCTTTCCTGGTTTAGTCCTGGTTTAGTCCTGGTTTAGTCCTGGTTTAGTCCTGGTTTAGTCCTGGTTTAGTCCTGGTTTAGTCCTGGTTTAGTCCTGGTTTAGACCTGGTTTAGTCCTGGTTTAGTCCTGGTTTAGTGGTTTTCCTGGTTTAGTCCTGGTTTAGTCCTGGTTTAGACCTGGTTTAGTCCTGGTTTAGTCCTGGTTTACCTGGTTTAGACCTGGTTTAGTCCTGGTTTAGACCTGGTTTAGTCCTGGTTTAGTCCTGGTTTAGTCCTGGTTTAGTCCTGGTTTAGACCTGGTTTAGTCCTGGTTTAGTCCTGGTTTAGTCCTGGTTTAGTCCTGGTTTAGACCTGGTTTAGTCCTGGTTTAGTCCTGGTTTAGTCCTGGTTTAGTCCTGGTTTAGACCTGGTTTAGTCCTGGTTTAGTCCTGGTTTAGTCCTGGTTTAGTCCTGGTTTAACCTGGTTTAGTCCTGGTTTAGTTACCTGGTTTAGTCCTGGTTTAGTTTAGTCCTGTTTAGACCTGGTTTAGTCCTGGTTTAGACCTGGTTTAGTCCTGGTTTAGTCCTGGTTTAGTCCTGGTTTAGTCCTGGTCCTGGAGGTTTGTGGACGTAGAAGCTGAAGGAAACGTTGGAGTAAAAGTTGATGTTGAAGTTTAAACTCCGGGACTGAAGATTTTATAACATTTGTGCTGAAAAATAAAGAAACAATAAAACAACATGAGTTTATTTACACTTTTCACTTTTTAACGCAACAACAAAACCAACAGGAGGCGCCAACTCCAAAAACTCCACTGAAGAAGAAGAAGAAGAAGAAGCAGCAGAAGAAGAAGAAGAGGAGGAGGATGTTGATGTTGATGAAGAGGAGGTCACTTCCCTGTCTCCTCCTCCTCCTCACTGTGGTTCATGTTCAGTTCTGCGTCAGGGACAAATCTGTCAACTGGAGCATTTGTCGGATTCCAAACTGTCTCTTCTTCATCGGTGAGTTTGTTGAGCAACAATCGGTGAATAGTTTTATGTTTAGTTCGTATTTGTGTTGTTAAATCGCACTTAGCGTCTTGTTTGTTCGCTCCGCTCCCATTCAAAACCCCTGTGGATATTAGCTCCGTTTACTCGCGCTGGGACTTTTACAAACACACATTATACTCAGGAAATATTGAACGTTTTGAAGTTTACAGTCAAGCCGAATTGTAGATAAGAATCTAATTGACTAGAAGCGTTTATTGATTCATTATTTTCTCTTTTGAATTGATGGAGTTGGTTTTGTCAACTTTTGGAGCGAACGTTAAAAAAAGCTCTCGTCTCCATTGAGTTTTTGCTCGTTGAAAATGAATGAAGTGACGAAGCTCCGACTGTTTTTGATGAGTTGTGTAACTTGAATGATTCATCTGATCATCTACTCGAGTATTTTGATCTCCACTTAAGTCATTGGATTAGTTGAGTACAATAGAGTATTTTGGATGAATGAAAAAGTGCACTTCCCTTTTTGATTGATGAGTGAATTATTGATCGATGACTGTTGTGCTGTGGACGATTAGAATCTGTTTGTAAAACATGTTTGAGTTGATTCATGTGGAGTTCACTGCTGTGGACCATTAGAAAAAGTCATTTCAAGTTGTGTTGATACAAGAGACTGATTAGAGCAGCACATGAAAATACGTTTGTGTCACGTTCAGGTTTTTTACATCAATTTGTTTTTCTTTTGTACAAAACCTGGAACAGAAAATCTTGTAAATAAGTGTGTAAAGACTAAAGTATTAGTGCAGAGTCGTAGAGCAGAAGCAGCACAGTTCAGTGTAAACTGTTGTTAACGGTCAGTCCCCGTGACTCAGCAGAGCTGTTTTTCTGTCTTTACACAATTAAAGTTGTTCTGTTCCACCAAAGCCCTGGATTCTGTCTTCACGTGTGTCACATTTATCAGATCTGCTCAACATGTGGATTAGAATCACAGCAACAAACTTGTTCAGTGTCTCTGTTTCTGTTTCCTTCATTTGGTCTTTTTCTTCTCTCAGGAGTCTGATTGTGTGAGTCTGATTCATGAGTCGGTTTCACTTGGTTTAAACCGTGTGACGTCGCAGATTTAGGATTTGTTCGTTCGACTGTAGGCGGGACTTTAGTTTATTTAACCGGTCGCTGCTGTTTGGTCGTGACCTGCAGCAGGAGGCTCAGTCTGAGGAACCTCCCACACAACAGTGAACGAAGCAGAGAGTGAAAACGTCTGTGTCGCTTCTGTGAGTTAAACTTACAACTTAAAGGTGCAATAAAAAGTGCAGTTTGTGTTTGGTGGAGGGAGTCCAGAGGAGGAGAGCGTCTGCGGTCTGAGGTCACAGCTCAGGTCGGTTCAGGTCGTCGCTGATTGGCCGGTGCACCGTCTACAACCTCCAGGTTTCTTCCAAATCATCTCGTGTTTTCAGATTCTGACCAAGAGCTGGAGAGAAAAGACATGAGTCGAGGCAGTAGGTGACGCCATCCTGGCAAAGAAGAAGTGTCTTTAAAATCAAATATAAACTGAGCTGATTCTTTCAGTCAAATGGATTTTGCTCAAAAAACTTAAACATTTTTACACATGATTCACTGTGTCTGATTTGACGTGTATTTAGTTACAGTTACTTTATTTAAACAGTTTAAAAAGTGATTTTTCTTGACACTTTCTTTCCTTTGTTCTAACGCAGAACTACAAGATCCACCAACAGAATGACCTTGACATGTGACCAGTGTGGGAAGGTGTGGCCAAATCCTTCCGAACTGAAAAGACACTACAGAACTCACACAGGAGAAAAACCATACAGATGTGACCAGTGTGGGAAGTCGTGGTCACGTGCTTATGCACTGACAGTCCACAAAAGAACTCACACAGGAGAGAGACCGTACAGCTGTGACCAGTGTGGCAAGACATTTTCACTTCCAGGCAGCTTAATAACACACAGGAGAATCCACACGGGAGAAAAACCGTACAAATGTGACGTTTGTGAGAAAACTTTTACACAGGCAAACATCCTAGAAAAACATATGAGAACCCACACAGGAGAGAAACCGTTTGAATGTGAGGTTTGTGAGAAAACATTTTCACAGTTAAGCACCTTAATGTCACATTTGAGAACCCACACAGGCGAGAGGCCTTACAAGTGTGACCAGTGTGGGAAAACTTTCTCTGTGTCATCCCACCTCAACAGACACATGAGAACTCACTCCTGGCAGATCCTGTACGAGTGTGACCAGTGTGAAAAGGCTTTTAGAACATCCCAGGAGCTCTCCAGTCACCACCGAACACACACAGGAGACAAACCAGACGAGTGTGGAGAAAGAGGAGAAGGACTTCAGGTCTGTGAGGAACCGTCTGAAACACGTCCAAATGTTCCAGAGTGAAGAGAAAAGCTGCAGCTCTGACCAGTGTGGGACGACTTTGAGACGAGCCGCAGCCTCTGGAACACACTAAAGGAGAAAGAGCCGCTGAGGCCGGATCAAGTGAGACTAAAGTCCGACTCAAACAGCTGCAGATCAGGTTCAGAGACTCTGGACTGAGGACGTGTGGAAATAAAAGAGTTTTAGTGGAGACTGAGGAGAGGACGGAGCCGCTCGCTCTGCGCTCTCCTCCACCGACAAAGGTGCTGTTTACTCAAACTTATATCACCACAAAACA